TAAAAATCAAATTTACACTTGAATGCATCAAAAAATAGACTGCAGGAAATCATGTCTGTAATAGAAAATAAAGAAAAGAAGAAATAAAGGTGTAGGCAAATAGATAGAAAATTGTATTTCCTCTAAACCTATACCATGTATAATGAAATATTGAGCAGTTTCAGTGATTTGGGTGCGCTAAAAAGGTACAAATTTCAGACACAAATAGTGTGGAAATGCACGTTGGCTTGACTGTCCTGGGGACAAAAATTAGTTTTTTAACCACTCTCACTTGTAATAGTTGCATATTTGCACTAAAAACTAACCTGTCATAGAAAGAGTTAATACAGTTATGTAATTATTATAATTTCTAGAACAATAAACAGAAGAAGCAGAAGAAAACGCGGCAGAAAGAGGCGGTCGATGATTTTGACAAGATTGTTGAACAGATACAAAAATAATCTGATTTCAAAGAAAAAAACTGATGGAAATGGTTTTGAGCGTAAATAGATTTTTTCAACGGGGACAATTTTATATATAAAAGAAATGTGACCAATAGTATTTTCAATCCCTTAAAAAAGTATGGCTGCACATGAGGTGGTTTAAAAAATGTTTGAAAGCTAACCAAAAGAGTATTCATAATGGCCATATAAATTTGATGCCATTCGATGAAAAGTAGACGTCAATGCTCACTGCGAATATTTGGTTGTAAGTCCACACTAATGCTGTATTCAGGGATCATATTGGTATCTTAGTCACCCAATTGATAACACAAATTCATGACTCATGGACCAGCTTCTGTCGAAAATAGTTCCAAGGAGGGGCACCCGGGGTCTTCTTCCACAAGTTAAGCGAACAAGTCGCCATATGTCATTTAAAGCTTTGGTTTTGACTTAAATGCCAAACAAACAAAAAACAACAACATAAAAACCATGTTAAAGATGTTTGTTATGGTTATGTATTGACGTCATGTTATCGGTACATATGAAGGTATATGTTATTGATAAGATATGTTATTGCTGTTAGATACTATGTTATTGTTGTTCCAGTATCAAGAGACAATAATTATAATTGAGCCGTGTCATGACAAAACCAACATAATGGGTTTGCGACCAGCATTGATCCAGACCAGCCTGCGCATCTGCGCAGTCTGATCAGGACCCATGCTGTTCGCTTACAAACCCTATTACAAGTTGAGAAACTGATAGCGAACAGTATGGATCCTGATCAGACTGCGTGGATGCGCAGGCTGGTCTGGATCCATGCTGGTTGCAAACCCATTATGTTGGTTTTGTCATGACACGGCTCGTATTAACTACTCACTAACACATTATTCATACAGTGTTAGAATGAAATACATGCATAAATTAAAAATTAATTTTATGAATGAAATAAACATTAGTCAAATAAGATTAAGTGTTGTTATTCATATAAAATACAGGATAGTGTTTATGAGGTCATTATGAAGAGGGCCTGGAATAGAATCAGGGAAACTTCTCCAAACTGACTCCCTCAAATGACAATTTGCCAGTTACACCAATAGAAAATGTTTAGGTCTTGATATAAGGCAATTTCTCCTTTTGTTAAAGCTGCATGCCTCCAGATTCATGCTTATTTTCATGAAAAATTTTAATGAATCTTAAGAGTACAGTATTACAAGTGAACATAGAAACTAATTTACACATTGTTAATTGCAGTAAAAATCTGCGAGAACACTGATACTGCCACCTGTGACTGTAATGTGACCTAATGATAAACTAAATATATATTTCAAAATAAAGTTAACAATTTTGATTATATTACATGCAAGATCTATCGGAAATGTTACATTGATCCAAAACGCACAAAAGTTGGATTGTCAAAAAGTTAGGTATTGTTTCAGTGAAAAAAAAACGGACAGTTTTTTTAAAGAAAGAACAAACAATATTAGCCAGAAATGAGGAATGCAGCTGCTCAAACATAGTGAGTGCATTTTCTTATTCAAAATTGACAAGACCTTTTATCTGACAACTTTTTTATTATCAAAAACAACCATTCAAGGACATACATTGGAAATATCCTTATGCTATAATTCGACAAGAAAAAAAAAACCGGTACTGTACTGTATAATACACATACATGATACATATGACTTGTACGTATTTTAAGTTCTTTCTTAAGCCATAATCATAAAAGGAAGCATAACAATATTTCTATTTAAAAAGTTGAATAAACATATTTAACGATAAACGGGTACAACAAATTCTTTTCTCTGTTGGATAAAGTTTCAGGTTTTATTCAATATATGTTATTGTACATATACATGCATTCCTGTAGGGGCTTGGCTTATTTTGAGTATAAGCCAATTACAGTCCCTTAGGCCAAAGTGTCCTACTTGCATGAAGTCTGACGTGAAGATTGCTTTAATTAAATACTTAGAAGAGAAAAAAGTTATTTACCATTAGGAAAACAAAATATAGCCAGATACCTCTATTGTAATCAAAATAGTTAACTTTTTTTTCTTTTTCAATATACATGTACCTAGACATGAGATCATCGTATACTGCATTAAATACATGTATACGGTTACCGAGGATGATAGGAAAATATTGCTATAAAACGTATTACCATTAGAAAAAACAAAACATAGCCAGATATCACTATTCTAATTAAGATGTTTAAAACAACATTTTTTGTTTCATTTTTTCTTTATTTCAACATACCAAAACATGAGATATAATCAAGGAACAAGGAAATTATCGCTTTTAAAACGATCTGTATGGCCATAAGATTAAGTGTTAAAATAATCTATAGCATCAAAACCACACCTTAAATTTATTGATACGCGATGACTTAGGTCCATAAAAAATCAATAGTTATAGAAGTGCATTATATTAGTATTAGAGAATAATTGTTTTTGACAATTTTCCTTAAATTTACTCTTTAAAATTCATCCCATATATTTGTTATATTATTACGCAGTTAAAATTAATGCCTTACTAGTCAAAACCTGAGAAAAAAGAAAAATAACATAGAATTTTGTATCCCATACAAATATTTACAAATAAACAGGGAAATTACGGTTTATTCAAAGCAAGGGTGGAAACTTATTTTAGTTTTGTAAAAAATTCAAAATGAGAAAAAAAGGAGAAAGAACATTCTCTCATATGGCTTTACATTGTTTTTATTGTAATTTTATCTCTGTTCTGTATGTATATATAGATGAGACTATTATAAAATACATAAAAGATGTCATTGTTTGCAGAAATATGCAGTTCATTTCTATAGTCAATGACATTTGTTTAAATAGCTTTGTATAGTGATATAGCTTGTAAATCTACTATTTTAAGGGTCTTAAATTTGATTAAAAATGTTATTTACAATGAAGTTGAGTTCTGTTTGTGATGATATTTGTGGGATATTGTTTGCTGCTAAAATCAGATTTGTAGGACCCAAAATATTCTACACAATTTCAAATGAAGATGAAATGAATGACAGACTAATACATTGATAAACAACTACAGGATTAAATATGAAAAGGCTGACACGTATTCCTTTGTACTACAAAAGTTCCAGACAAACATAAAGTTTAGCATTATAACATTTTGTTTTAGAAATGATTATCCTTAATAAAATCCGCATAGGAAGGTATAAATTGATTTGTTAAAAAAAGATTATTTGTATTAGAAATGAAAAACACAATAGAAAATTTCTCGCTAATATTTCTTCCTGTGTTGTTTCTCTTACATGTATGTGTTTTACTCGCCTTTGATTGTATGACAAAAGTTACATCGTAAGCATACCTATGGAATCAGTAAGCAGCTACGCAACTACATGTATAGATCGATCTACATCATTTTTTACGTCATTTTTAAATTTTAATTTCTCGAAACTCTATTTATTAAATACGCCCGTGCGTATTGGCGTATCGGCAGGTACGCCACCGTTCCTATTTAACATAGAAATGTTGCAAAACTAGATTGTATTAAGTCACTTTATGAACATTGATGAAAATGATAAACTAAATAAAACAGACTTGGAATTGATTTAAAAAAACCTATAATTTTACTAGTTACAAGTAAAAAGTTTTTATCAATTATTTATTGAAATTGTTTTTGATATTGGTCTGTTAAAAAACCATTAAATTAAAAAAAAAAAAAAAAAAAAACAAGAAAAAAACAACAACAACAAAACCAATAAAAAAAGAAGAAAAAAGAGTCTTACTGGGTGAGGGCAAAAAGTTTTTCCTTATTTAATATAAGTCTGTCTAGTCCCACTTGTGTCTTTGGGTCTCGGTATGAATCATTTCCGTTAAATAATTTGACAAAGTTAAGACAATATCAGCAAAATTCAATCATTTGACGGTCAATGTCATTTAAAGGTCAAGGTCATATCTAAATTCAACATGTTTGTTTGGTCACAAAGTAGTTTTGTCAACTTTACCGAAAATTCAATAACTTGACCATAACTTTCAATGTCATTTTAAGCTTAAATTCAGTTCCACATTTTGATAGGTATTGTAAAAAAGATTGTTTGTCGTATAAAGATAATCTATTGTTTAATTACCCAGTTACAGTTAATACTGCAAAAATCATTCAATTATGGCCCATTCAATAATTTGATCTTCAATGTCAATGTCCTGGCATAAATGATTTTGTGTCTAAATATGAAGTTAATCTATTTATAGATAACGAAGTTGGATCTAACAGTCAATGTCAATTTAAGGTCAAGGTAAAACTCCTAAGTTATTCAATACGGCTAATAGCAAGTCATGTTTTGTCCAAGTATAAATCAATTTCGTACATAAATGATGAAAGTATGACAATTTGTTGCTTTGTATGAAGAAAGTAGATATAATTTTAAGTTATGTATGCCCCCAACCAGCAGCCAATTAGTCATGGGGCCGGGTTATTGTGACTGACTTGAGCTAGTGACCAAAAAGTCAATAGGGGTTAACTACTGGTCATGGTTAGTCACTAGGTCATTGTGACCGTAAATGTTATGTGCAGCAATCATATGACAAAGATATCACAAATCTTACCAAACAAGATATGTTCGTAAAACATGTATGCCCTCTATCGGCAACCAATTAGCCACGTGTCCAGGTTATTGTCACGTACTTTTGACCAAATGACCAAAATATCAATAAGGGTTATCTACTGGTCATGACTTGTCACTAGGTCATTGTGACCGTAAAGGTTGTGTGCAGCAATTTTATGACAAAGCTATCATAAATCTTACCAAATAATATATACTTAAATTTTATGAAACATGTAGGCCTCCGTAATGAAGGCCAATTTGTAATATTATTTTAGACCTTAAAATGTTAACACCAAAAGCATTTTTAGTTTAATAAAAAAAAAAATCAACTAAGGCAACTCGAATTGTTGAATTATTGATTGCAAACCGTTTTAACGTACAAGGTCAATGTGACTTTGACCTTTAAATCAATAGGTTATATCTACTGGTCAATACCAATTCACCTATGCAGTTTTAAGGCTAAAAGCCAATGGCATGTCAAGTTATTGATCGGACACCGTTTTTACGTACAAAGTCAATGTGACCTTGACCTTTGACCACTTGACCCCAAAATGGATACAGGTTATCAACTGGCTAAGGTCAATGCATCAATGCTGTTTGACGGCCAAGGGCCCATGGGTTCTCAAGCTAATGATCGGAAACAGTTTTTACCTTCAAAGTCAAATTGACCTTTGACCCCTTGACCCAAAAATCAAAAGTGGTCATCTACTGGCCAAGAGCAAATCACCTATGGAGTTCAAGGGTCCATGGGTTGTTTAGTTATTGATCGGAAACCGCTTTTACCTTAAAGGATAATATGACCTTGACCTTTGATTCTTTGACCCCAAAATCAATAGAGGTATTTTTTATTAGCCCAGACCAATACCCATACCAAGTTTGAAGTTCATATGCCTAAGCATTCTTTAGTTATTGATCGGAATCCGATTTTACCTACAAGGTTAATATGACCTTGACCTTTGATCCCATAGTCAATAGGGGTCATTTTCTTGCCAAGACCAATCCTCACACCAAGTTTGAAGTTCCTAGGCCTAAGCATTCTTTATTTTAGATCAGAAATCGGTTTTACCAACAAGGTCAATTTGACCTCGACCTCTGACCACTTGACCCCAAAATAAACAATCCCCATACCAAGTTTGAAGTTCCTAGGCCTAAGCGTTCTTTAGTTATTGGTCTGAAACCATTTGGTCTACAGACCGACTGAACGACGGACCAACCGACAGACAAATGCAAAGCTATATACCCCCACATGTTTGAAAAGGGGCATAGTAATATATGCATAAATTTTCATGCAGGCCTCCTTAATGACAGCCAATTTGTTATATTACATATACCTTGAAATGTGTATACCAAAATACTTTTTATTTGAATAAAAATAACAACCAAGGCAACTTAAGCTGTTGAGTTATTGGTTGGAAACCGTTTTCACGTACAAGGTCAGTGTGATTTTGGCCTTTGGCCCTTAAACCAGCTACTGGCCAAGACCAATATACCTGTGAAGTTTGAAGGTAAAGGACCCATGAGTTGTTGAGATATTGTTCAGAAACCGTTTTTACCCATAAGGTCAATGTGATATTGACCTCTGACCCTTGACCCCAAAATCCATTGAGGTCATCTTCTGACCAAAACTAATGCATTTGTGAAGTTTGAAGGTCAATAGTCCATTTGTTGTCGAGTAATTGATCGGAATGTGCTTTGACATGCAAGGTCAATGTGACATTAACCTTTGACCCCTGACCCCAAAATCAATGGGGGTCGTCTACTGGCTATGGTCAATGCACCTAAATAGTTTGATGGCAAAAGGCTCATGGGTTGTCAATTTATTGATCGGAAACCTGTTATACCTTTGACCCCAAAATCAATAGGGTTCATATACCTGCAAAGGCTCATTCACCTACGACTATGACGGTCAACAGCCCATGGGTTGTCAAGTTGATAGGAAACATTTTTTACATTCAAAGTCATTTTGGCCTTGTCCATTGCTTTGACCCCTTGACCCCAAAATCAATAGGTGTTATCTACAGACCAAGTCCAATGAACCTGTAAAGTTTAAAGGTCAAATGAGTTGTTGAGTTATTAATTGGAAACCATCTTGACATTCAAGTTCAATTTGACCTTGACCTTTGACCTAAAGATAAACAAAAGGGTTCATCTTCCTATCATGATTCATGAACAATCCCAATACCAAGTTTGAAGAAAATAGTCAGAAGCGTTCTACGGACCGACCAACCGCCGACAGACATATGCAATGCAATATACCCCCACTTCTTTGAGGGGGCCATAATTGCCAAAATTATTGTCAATTATAGCAAAAATCAGTAAACATTTCGAAATCAATGTCATAAAAAAGCCAATGTCAAGTGGAGTTTGACATACATAGATGTCCTTTCCTAAAGAATGGGTGTGTCTTAATATGAAGTCGTCAAACCAATTATTAATAAGTTATAGCCAGCTACAGCAAAGAAAAGAAAATGTCAAATTATTTGTCTTTGCAGATCAAGGACATTTATGACTTAAGGTCAAGGTTTGTCTGTTTAACTGAAAGGTCTGTCCTTAAAATTGTTATTTTCAAGTTTGGAGACATTCATTTTAAAATAATAAAGTTATAGCCATTAATATCACAATAAAAGCAAAGTTTAGACATTTTACCTTAAAGATTAAATTCATTTATGAATGAAGGTCAAGTTTAGTCTGTTCTACTTTAAGGTCTTATACCAAGGGTAAGTATAAACACAATACATGTACACCAAGAACTTCAGTTATGATCCAGGAACTGTAACAAAAATACAATAATAGGTAAATGTAAAAATACTCTTTATGCAATTCGTCTCATTTCCATAATTTTGAAATGTTCTCAGACTACTGCACACAATTAACCATTGCTGATTTTGCTAGACGTTTCACAATATAATTACTAACATTTTGTATTTAAAATGCCATTAACTGTGAACTGTAAACTACGATATTGCAAAAATGATTATTTTATTTTGTATCATATTGTATCGATAGATATGTGTTATAGCAAGTAAGTGCACTTGTTTGTATAACTGTATTGGAAGCAAAATAATTTCTAGTCTTTGCTTAAGAGTGCTGCAATAGTTTGTTACTTGTTCAAACAGCTTTTTTACCATGACGGGTCATTTTTAGAGATTTTTTTTAGCTGGAACTTTAATGTCCGCTTTGAGCATTTCTCGTCCCCTCGTTTATTACTCTATCTAGTCACTGTTAGCAATAATGTCTAAAAGAAGCAAATAAAGATCTTCAAATGTTGTATTCATTTTGTACTGATTATTTTCAATCTTCCATGTGACTCTGGGTCTTTTTCTAAAAGGCTTCAACGTTCGTTGTGTAAATAAGGCTTCGCCTGTTGCTTCATTTGTAAATATTACAATAGGCGTTTGTGAGATGCCTGCAGAATCTAAATCTAAACAGCAGTTTGGATCGATAAGATAATTTTCTGACACGACCGCAATTAATGCAGAGCATCTCTCTATACATTGTCCATTTTCTCCTATTACTCTGTGACCACCATCTACATGCGTATCAGACGTACATATTAAATCTCTATCTATTCTCGTCATTTGTTTAAGATTTTCATCCAAGTTTCTATACAGATAATCTTTTACAAAGACTTCATCGTTACTGTAAGACAAGAAAACAACAAATTCATATTGTCCTTCTCCGTTATGAAGTTTGTTAATCAATTCTATTCTGTTTGCTTTCCTCTGAACCTTTTTACGATATCTGTAGACGGCAACTATTGTAACAAGAGCGACAAGGACCATAACTCCGATAGCTGCGCTTGTCGAAATAATAATAATTCTCCTTCGGCAAATGCCTTGAACATATTTGTATGTAACTTGATCAATGGCTCTAAAAGAGCCATTATCATCACTGCATGCTAGATGGGAAAGTGGAATTATCACATACTTTGTACTTAAAAGCCAGTTTATAAATGCTTCTGTCTCGCATTTTGAGCACGACAGAGGGTTATACTCCAGATATACACTTAACTTATTGTGTGTCATGTATGAGATATTGGCGATGACGGAGTCTATATTTCTCATTGATAAAACATCGAAATCTTTAATCTTGTTGTTCTGTAGCAGTAATACTTTGAGTTTTTCTAAATGGCTTAAGGTAAACGTCACCTGTTCCATTTGGTTCCAAGAAAGGTCAATAAATTGTAGATTATGACTTTTTATAAACATTTTTGTCGGTATGGTACTTAAATCATTTGACGATAGATTTATTCTCTTCAGATGGCGCAATGAAAGCAATAATTGTGAAAATAACAATTTGTGCCCTTGAACCATTTTGAAAAGTTGGTTTTTAGACAGATCCAGTTTTTCTATGTTTGGCACCGAAGCCGTTAAACTTGGATGTAGAAATTCCAGCTCGTTCTCAGCTAAATCAAAACGCGTGATCATATCGAATGTATAGGTGTCACTCAGGATTTTTATATCTAGGTATTTCAAATGGTTTTTGCTGAGTATAATTTCACGGCTCTGCCATTGGACAGGCTTGTCCACTATTATCGTAGAGTTAATTATTCGAATGTAACCTATACCAAGGAAGATATTACTGTAGTTTACAACTTTAGGCGCGAGAAAAAAATTCCATCTCGGCAGATCTGAAATATTCTTTGTTATGTTGACTAAACTGGCAGATGGAATAAAACGGAATAATGTAGAAAAGCTCGCATCAAAAGAATCTATATTTAATTGTTTTAGTTTCGTGGTGAATATTAAAATAGTATTTGAGATAGAAGAATGAGAAATATTCAAAATTTTCAATTTGTTCATGTCTAACGACAAAGCTGTAAAATTTATATTAGATATAACTGTTGAGCTTAAATCTAAAGAGGATATATTTTTGTCTTTCAGCGCGTTTGTAAATCTTGTGTCTATGTCAATAGGATCCCAGAGACTATTAAGTTTCGACAGTATCAAATGCTGTAAACGTGGCAGTTTTGTCATACCATTTAGGCATGGAATTAAATCAGTCAAAGGGAAACGCTTACAAGAATCCAGGTCTAATAAACTTAACTTTTCTAAACCAAGGAAGACGTTCGAATTCATTATAATCCATGGCAATATATGCATGTGTAATTCCTCCAGCGAATGTAGACCTACAAAACATGCTGAAGTGAAATTAAAATGACTGAAAGGTTCACTCACATTGTATGATAATTCAAGTTTTTTAACTTTTTTCCAGTTGTACGTTCTAAAAAATGTGTTATTAATTGTAAAATTTAAATTGGGTCCCTTAAAATTCCATAGTCGAACAGATGAAACTCCGTTTGGAATGTCTGTTGGAATATAGTTGCACTTAAAAGATGTATAATCCATCCGTACACAATACTTTCTCACACACAATACAAACGACATGTTTATAAAAATAAGTATAATCCGTGTTATTAAAGCCATCCTTAGCACTAATTTTCATATGAATGTCTAAAAACGTCGTTACCAATAAAGAAAACCAAACGTTTAAGTTTCACACAACTTCATTGATCACTTCCTTGTTTGAAATAATTGTTATTAGTGTCCAACTTTGTCATCCAATGGAAACGTTGTATTTCTTCAAAATTATGTGTTAAACAAAAAAGTCAATATTAAATCAAATTCTTTTCATAGTCGCCTTTTATTTTTCATAGTGCTTCATAGAACCGCGTTTGTAAAAATAGTTTATCTGTCACACGGGTCACCTGCCAAATACCCGATTAATTGCCTGAAAGTATGTCGGCCTTGTACGTCCATCTTCCAATGTGTTTATAATTACAATAGGGGAACTTTTGAAACAGTATTGGTCAAGGAATTACTCTGTATCAAAGATGAAGGCTTTGACTGATAAAACCTTGGAATTCGTTACATAAATACTTAATGCTCGTGTTAACAGAAAGATAGGTATATATCTTTGTAGGCATTGGAAACTTTTCCAAATCATGGACCTGTTAACTTTATAAAAATGCTATCAAACCAAATATTATAATACCAGCTTGTCCGCTATCAGAGATATACCTGTACGTTTTAATTTAAAAAAAAAGCAGTACGTGTAGCTTAAAATTAGAGACCAAGATTTAATGACAGAAATATTTGTTTCTTAAATGATAATGATCCTACCCTATGGCTGTAGAGCTTAAAGTTTTTTTGGCCGGATACCTTGTAATGCCATGAACGTTGTTGTTACAACGGTCAATTCTATGTTCTATCTCATTTCTAAAATAATGCTAAAATTAACGTTTTGTTTTTCATAAACAATCTATGACTTGGGGCTCAAAACATATATCTAGGACTTTCGAAAATGGATATTCATGCATGATATATTCGTTGATTTGCAGAGCAGTGACGTCTTGGATTATCAGTTGTGTAGTCTGATAAACGTATTGGCAGAGTATACACATTTCTTCAAATCATACATGGAACCGTTTAGTTCTATCTAAAAAAAAGTTAATACTTGTTCTGGTGATGGTAATACCTTAATTCTACATACTGTAGACTTAAATTTGAATCAGGAAAATGTTACTTCGACAGGATCATGATGACTTACATGTCAATTATTGTGCTATAATTGAGAAGTCAATGCATATTAAAATTATAAGAAAATATCTTCGAGTTACGTAGGCATTATTAATACAGTAACGTTAGTATCTGTTTAACGATATGTTTGTCTTTAATGTCTTCCGCATGTAATGTCTTAGATTTTGCAGTATTGCCTATTTTACATTCTGATTTATAACTGGTGAAAATAATCATTAAAAGCACTGGCTAAGAAAATAGACGAATCTATAGATTGCTGGATGTCCGTCTTTTTATTGCATTGTCTTAAGATTAACTTTGAAGAAACATATTCGGTTATTGGAGCTTCAGATGTATTTTCAAAGATTTCTTATGGAACAAATATTCCAGACTCTTCATCTTAATGGATCCCATGAGTCTAAGACACTAATGTTAATAATTGTTACCAACATGTCCACAAATTTTTTTTTATGGTTAACATATATATAACCACCATGTGTGTTAATTTGCATTTAACAGTAATGTAGACTTATTATTTTATTTTGTCAAAGTTTTGTTTTCCGGGAGGACGCTAAACATAAACAAAATTAAAAGAAAATTATGAATTTTTTTATTTTATTTTTAAAGAACTTGTTTTATTTACAATTAAAACGAAAAACAAATAACACCACATAAAAAGTACGTTTTGTCCCAATAATGAGACCTGTAAGCTATTACTTTCTTGAAAACACCATTTTTTAAAATAAAATTTACGAGACGCCTGTAAATCTATAAAAATATTTTCGGGGAAAGCAATTAATATAAAAGCAGAATTATAATTGTTATGATATTTTTATATCAATGTAAATATATTCTGCAATATTAAGTGATACACACGGAATAAGAAATTAACTTAAAATGCTTTATATCATACTATAGAAGCTGTCACTATCACGATGTCTTAGAACTGTTTACTTTAGTTGTCAAACCTCTAAAACCTGACAAAAATAGTAATAACTTTTATTGGGTGATTCTTCTTTATTGGGTGGGCCCTTCAATGTCGAATGTTGAACACATATTTTTGTGAATAATTTATTAATAAGTTGGCTACCCTAAAATGAGTCCTATATTTGACAATTTATCAATCACCTGTGCAATGAGGCACATGGAAGAATTTTATAACATAATCAAAGCAATGTGCAAGGGGTGGGACGAACATGCGTCATTGCTACAAATTATTAGGCTTAATTATAAAATAATCCTTTTAAATTTACTTACTATTGTTTTCCTTACAATTTACCTCACAGTTTTTTCAACAAAATACCTCTGTGTACATTTTAATTACTTCGTACTTAGACTGTCAATTAGCGGTTAGCAGTGAGCAGCAGGCTGTCCAGTTAGGGGCCAGTTACACAGACGGTCGGTCCCCAATCGGTCATTTAATTTTAAATTTACTCGCTGTTATGATCGGTTGTCATGCGTGATTTTATTTCTGGTTTTCTGTGTAAACGGCCATCGGTGACAGAAAGCAAACTCAAACGGGGTTGGATCGGTGATAAAAATGCTGAAATACTATCGGTTTTTATCGTTTGTAAATCGGAGCTAAATCGGGCGTAACGCTGATTAATCGGTGTTTGATAGCTAGTCATCAGTGGTTAAACACTTTCCGTCAGATATGGCCGGTGATTCATATTTGGTTATCTTTGTCCGATCGGCGATATCGGTGATTAAGAGCTTGCATATCTCGTGATATAGGTTGCTGTCGGTTATTTGTAAAATATTTTCACCGATCGAGAATTTTAAACATGTTTAAAAATCCCAATCGGTAATTTTTCACCGATGAAACTTATCTTTCCCCAATAGCAGTTGATAGGTGGAAAACAGGTGACCAATAGGTGATATCGGTGTTAAATACGTTGTCATCGGTTCACTCCATAATTTGGCTAAAAAACTACCGATCAATCACCGATGGCTCTGTGTAACTGGGGTGTTAGCAGTAGGCTGTCGTTTATGGACTTCACTCTGTCTTTCGGTGATAAGATAGGACATGCTGGTTGATTGGCTTTTTTTCTCCCCACTCTGGGGTTTACTCATCACGACGACAGGAAAAGGGATAACGATAGAAACTTCATATTCTGATGCACGTTCTTTTGTCATATTTTCCGGTATTTCATATTGTGACGACAGGGAACGTGCTTTATATTTGCCTATGATGTTGTTATTACTTTCAATGTATCAGATTTTTGTCCATAAAACTAAATTAACAATAAGTGAAAGATAGATAGAAATATGGAAAGTATATATATGTTCATCTAATCTAATAACCACTGACTTCCATAGCAACCAATTAATACTTCATAGAAGTCATTGACTTTTCATAGCAAACTGTAAATGTCCATAGCAACCAGTGACTTACATAGCAAACATTCACTTTCCATAAAAAGGGTGAATCTACCATTGAATTTCATAGCAAGGAAACCATATATTTTCTTTAGAATCCTGTGACTTCTTTAGTTCTTAGCAGTGGCAACCAGTAATGTTTAACATGTGCACTATTTCAGATACGTATATGAACTTTGTGATATCAGATTAAAAAAATAGATTAAATCTGCTTTCGTTCATAGTTTACAATATCACTTTTTCCTTGTCATGAAGAGTACTTATATTCACGTGAACGATACTACTAATCATATTAGGGCCATTTTGGTTCTCTTGTTACAATTAATTTAGTATATTTTGCCAGTGATAGTCTTACACGTAATAATAGCACAACTGGTGTACTCTCATCACAGATTATAGTAAACAGGAAAATAAATTTTAACAGCTAGGTAGAGCTGAATGTCTTTGGGTCTAATCTCACAAGTGGTGAGTTTTCTCTTTTGATTTCCACAATCAAGACTGATACATTTTCTTGTTACTACAACAAGACCCAGGAAGCAGCTATCTGGCATAACTTACGGTACACATGTGTAGGGTCACAGGTTTGGCATCATGAGACAGCAAAGCAAGATTTTTACTTTCTTTTGATATGGACATTATCACTGGATGTACAGTGTAACAGAATTACTTTGTGGAATAATATTTCTACAGAAACTGCATTTTTCATAACAAATTTTATTCTACAAACATTCACTTGATCATATACAAATAATAAAATATCATGTCTGTTTTAAAATGGAAATAAAATACAATATAATGAATTTAAACAACCTTTATAATACTACCTGTTTACTCTTTTTCCTTCCATACATTTTGTTAATTTTACCCTTAACCTGCTGAATGTCTCAAATGGACTAATCCAGCTTCCATTTTTTGGAACAGTCCATTATCATAATTTATAAGGATATCAGGATGAAAATACATTTAAAGTTAACTTGGTCTACAGTATAGGGCCTGGTCAGACTGCACGGATTTGAAGGCTGGCTTTGATCTATACTGGTGACCAAGGCTCAAATCACTTTTCCTTCCAGCAGGTTAAGATTGAATTTCCCTGGCATATATGAAACAATCGTAATCTAGAACAAAAGCACCGCTGGGCGGAGCATTATATGCCCAAAAAGTAAATATTAAGGTCATTTTATTGAACTTTGACCTTGTGATCCCAATATAGATATGGATCTTTTATTTGATAAAGAAAATCATCGTATGAAGATTGTACACTGTAAGCCAAATGGAACTTGTGTTATGCTCCAGGGGACGGGCGCCAGGGGGTATAACATGATATGCCCGAATTCTTTCAGGCATATAAAAAACGAGTTTTCTTCATAACATTGGTTTCTGTAAACACCTTTTGATTTTCAGCATCTCCACTGGTACAATATATATATATACATATATTTATATATATCATTATATTTTGAAATTGTAAATGTAAGAAAATGATCTGGTGATTATATTATAGTGCCAGTGTTAAAATTTTTATGAATGTTGTGTAAGAGTGATACAAAAATTTCATACAGATTTTCAATAAATATTTTAACTTGCTGAAATTTTGTGTGATGGTTTGACCCTG